GTTATTTTTTTCACAATTTAGATACATGGTTCTGAGAATGCAACATTTTTGTATCAAAATGCCATAATGGTTGTCTGGAAGTCACCATTCTGGTCCTCAGTAATTATTTGGCTGAAAAATATAATAATTCCTGACCACCATGGAGAGTAAACTGTCATGTTCCAAAAACCCAAAAATGATTGACCAAATTGGTGCAAAAGAGGATTGTGACAACGTTGTGTTAAGGTTGCCACGAGCCACAATAGGCCAATGGCCGCAGTGGAGGGCCTGACAATAGTCCCACTCACGTTCAACCTAAGGTTGCCACGAGACTTATGTTTGGTTGCGCAATTCTTCAAACACGTCGCTGTAACGTTGAATTGATACTTGAGATCACAGATAACTACTCATTTTGGGTTCGAACATATCATTCTGCATCTCAGAAATATCAAGAGAACTGTAATATTAGATGAGGAAACAGCACAACTGAAACATAGTTACCTATACGCCGGGCACTAGAGTGCAACTTTACGCCCGCGAAACCGGGCGGTATTACGCCAGACCTTGCATAAAAAATATCTCTCACCGGCGGCAATAGTAAAACATCTCAGGAAATATGAAACACGTTAAAACACGTGGAACAGTCCGAAATTTGATGAAGTTTCATTGATGAATACTGGCGTAAAATATGTTCAGATAGTCTTTTCGAGATGGCACTTGTGCCACTACCACTACCACGTGCTGAGCCCTTTAAGTTGCATCAATACCGGCATATTTTCAGTGTTTCGTTGACTCTGCTACGTAATTTTTGTACAATAGTGACACATTCAAGAAATAGCAACGATTTCGTTTCAGCATTTGTGTCACATTTTGAGTTATGCCACTATAACTTTGTGTTTCCTATTATTTTAATTTTAGTCAAATGTGCCAGTTTGCTGAATAAGTTTGGTTTATATATTTTATTGGTTACGGTTATTTCTGGTATTTTTCTATTGAGAAATCGTATATCTGGTACATTTTTGTTTTATTCAAAGATAACTTGGAAGTATTCATTGCACGTTTCTTGAATTTTCATTCAAACTGTGTAATTTGGTTGCAACAATAATGGCACATCTTACAAACATCACCGTTTTCATAGCAAAAAAAAAAACTTTTCCTACGATCAATAGGCGAGTACACACGAGATACAGCCTCAGTACGTAGCTCTTTACGCATAGTAAGCACATCGCACAGTTTTCGTTCAATAGGTACGCCAGTATAGGTATGTCATGATCGCGTAATCGCCGTCAACATCGGATGACATAACTGTCAAGAATAATAATTCAGACTGTTTGTCCAAACTTTTTCGATGTACTATATGGCAGTAGGTAAAGTATAATACATAATGTGTGTTGTAAAGCAATTACGCACTCATGGAATTACGAACTCACCGCTCCACGGCTACGTGCGTAATATAATAATATGCTTCTTACAACACATATTACGTAACACACTATAACAATCCCCATATGATTATTTATATAACTCAAGAATTATCACAGGCAAGTCCATGATTGATATTCAAATGTTATTACAACAAGAGAAATCGAGATAGCTCAAACTTCAAATGCAGTTTCCTCCATAATACGCAATTTTGAGTTGTGCCACTATTGTCACCAGTGAGAGCGATATCATATCAGGTGAATTCAACATGATCGCATTTTCTCCTCGTATTTTCCAGTACGTTCTTCAGCAAACGAACGCTTCAAGGGCAAATCGTAGCTCTTGAAGTCTTTGACAAGCCGGGCGAATAAGGCTTATTAGCCTCTGGATTCCTTCCCTAAGATGCTATATAGGTTCTGAATTATTGGTAATAGAAATTGAAAAATTTCATACGTTCCTAAACCACTTGTATCTCCTCTCAAAAAGAAGATATTTTCGTGAATCTAGAACCATTGTGTTAGGAAGGTACGAAAAAGTATCACACTTCAATCCAAAACATGTTGAAGCCGAAGGTTGCAGAATGGTTTCCTATTATTGTTAAATGAATAATAATCCTTACCTTCTTGAAAAACTTGTATTTTCTTTTTTATCAAGACCAGGACACGCTAAGCACCTTCAGACCGGTTTCGAGCTCTTTGACTCTTATCGGTGCAGGGCAGTCTCCAGCCAGCAGTCCTAAGACCGCCGACTAAGCGTAGCCTACCGAATTCAAATCAAGTCGGCATTATATTTCCTCAGAGGCGTCCTCCATAGACAATATGAGAGCAACGCCATCTGAGTAGGAAAGAAGGAGAGAGAAACTCCAGAACCGGAATCTTCATACGGGAGTGGCTAGTTGCCCGACTGGCGCAACTTCAACTACGAAATAGCCACAATGCTCAAAGTGGAATGAAATGTTGAATACATACTTTGGAGAGGGGAGTTCTTGAATCCTGCTTATCTTATTTTTTTGGGGGCTTCTTGGGTTTTGGATCCGTTTGTAGAATTAAAATAGTAGGAATTTATGAAAACGCTTCGCCCATGGCCATGGGCTTTGTCAATTTATTACAAAGATATGATGTTGAACAGTGGAGTTTAGCTGTGAATTAAAAAATACAATTTACATTTTGATCTACTCCATAATTTCAAAATGTGAATTGTATTTTTTCAATTCACAGTTCAACATCATGTCCTTGTAATGAATTGACAAAGCCCATGGCCATGGGCGAAACGTTTTTATAATACTATTTTAATTCTACAAACGGATCCAAAACCCAAGAAGCCCCCCAAAAAAAAGTTGAATACATCAATACATAAAGCTCAAAAACATTTTCAATCCATGAATAATGAGTTAGATATTTTGAAAAGTTGGCTCAGGCTGAATAAACTCAAAATGAATGCTTAAAAAACAAATTGTATGAGTAGCAAAATCAACTGTACTAAATTCAATCAGGGGAATTTTGTGCTAACAATTGATAATTCGGTAATAATGTATGTTAATGGGATGAACTTAACTTTTATGCTTTTCTGCACATATTGATTTTTTGTGTAAAAAAATAGGAAAATAAGTCGAGCACTTTTATAAAATCTGTACAAGCCTTTCTCCGTGGTGTAGAAAAATTGTTTATAACACTATTATATTTCCACATTCTAATTACTGTATGTCCATACTCCTTTACTGTTCTTCTACACAAAAACATCGATTGCAGCTACTCCAGAATAAAGCAATGCGAATTCTGCTTCGTTGTAGCAGGTTCACTACAGAAAATGATATGCTGATGACCTTGAAATTCCTTAATATTTCCCAACTGATTGTAGAGTCGTCTTTGTTATTAATTTTCAAAATTGTCAATATGCAAGCTTCTTCCTACTTGCAAATATACATAATCAAAATGGCAGATATGATACATTATAATTTGAGGTTCAATGATCAATTCTACATACAAGTTTTCAACACGAATGCTTTGGAAAAAAACTCTCTTCATTGAAGGTTGAAGAATGTATGATGATCTACTTCTTCTAGTTGAGACATCAGGAAATGTAAGAATTTTCAAAACAAGATTGAGAAAAAATTATTGTAATGTATAGATTATATTGTTTATGTGTGATTTATATCGAATGTGTAATATTCATGAATGATTATATTATAGCTATCGATGATAAATGAAACTCTCTTCTATTCTTTTCTATTCTACAATGTTGATAAAATGAACAACAATGGTAGAGATATCGAAAGAAAAACAACTACTTCCCTGGCTTATGCCACGCAAACATTTAATTACATCTTTCCGAAATCTCATAAATAGATGGCTATATACCTATTTCGTAGTTGAAACATAACCCAGGTAACAAGCTGACGTCATTTGTACGTCATTATCTGGCCTGATGTCAGGATGACTTCCGAAATGACGTCATAATGACGTTTACATGACCTTCTAAGTCAGGTTAGGTTAGCTTGAATGACGTCATTTTCATGTCGTCAAAATGACGTCATCCTAATAGCGACATCCCAATGGCGTCAAAATGACGTGATCTTTACGATTATTTATATCACTGGAATCTTCTGTATGTTTCAGTTTATTTTGTGCTATTTCGAAATTTTCTGTAGGTATAAAAAACACTGTTGCATTAGGATTATACCAATATTATCAGAAAATATGAGATTTTTTTTGTATAATTATATTGATGTTCCTTCACCACATCAAATGCAAAATAATATTATAGGTAGGTACTATAAATACCAGTTTCATAAAATGTTCTTTTCATTGGGAACTTATCCCATTCGGATGATGCACTCAAGAGATTTCTCAGAACCCTATGGTATTCCTTCAATGACGTCCAATTCACATTCTGCTTTTTCGACATATACCACTTGTCTAAAATAATGACAATGCTGCCATCCTCAAATTCTACTACTTGATATATGAATATGAATAAGTATGACCACCACACCACACCACATATAGATAGCCGAATAATATGATAATGATGGCCTTCTATGTATTGTTAGTTTGTTGTTATGGTCATCATGGCCGCAACGGCGAAGCGAAAGTGAACGGCTTGGCCACAGCCGTCTTCTGAAGACGACTGTGGCTTGGCGCTGGCGGTCGACGTTCGCTTGTCTGCGCAACGTTCTCATATAACAGAGATGGGAAACTTCTTGATTATGAATTTCCCTTGATGTAGATGACTCAATAAATGATGGTCATAATTAGTCATGAAAATGACCATCAGATGACGTCATATTGACGACATATCAAGGACGTCTATATAACGTCATATTAAGTACGTCAAAATGACGTCATTTTGAGGTCATATGACGTCAATGACCATAAATGACCATATATTGACGTACAAATGACGTCAGCTTGTTACCTGGGAAATGTCATGAATTGTACAGGAATGCCAGTTGCGAGTAAAATATACGCCAGACGCTAAAGTGCAATTTTACGCCTCCCGCGAAACCGAGCGGTAATTTGCAACTATACGCCTGGTCGTACATAAAAAGTATCATATCTGGTGAATTCAACAAAATCACATTTCCCCCCCGTATTTTCCAGTGCGTTCTTCAGCAAACGAACGCTGCGAGAGATGGAGAACTGCTTGCGAGCATTCAGAAGCAGCACGCGATGGCAAACCGCGTTCCTCAGAGCCAGACCAACAATTCCAAGAAACAGGGGGTGTCCGCGGAGTCTAGCGAATGTACGGGGGATGGCGGGAATATTCCCATTACGAAATACGACAAGGACTTCAGGTGAGGACATTGGAGAACGATTGAAACATTGCTGAAATATTTACTAATCACTCGTATAATCGAACTCACGCCACAAACCTATTTTATATTCATCAGTCCGTGTACAAATAGTATTTGATGCTATCATTCGTTATTTGGAATCATCTGGAATACTTTTTTCAGCAAACGACACAAAAGTCGTCCCTTTCGATACCAAAATAACATTTCAAATTGACGTTTCGATTACTGACACAAACATAAGTATGTTTGCCAGGGATCACTTCAAGTTCCAAGGAGCTCGAGTTGAACTTTAGTTTCTTGGAACTAAAAAGGATGTACTAGTCATCAAGAATAAACAACATTGTTACGGTTTGTTATTTAGGTTGGGACCCATACCTGGTTTTTTCCTGATTTCGGCAGATTTTGCATTTTATATCCATGGTGGAGATATGAATACACCATATTTCAATTATATAAATATTTTTATTGTGATGAGGAAAGCCTCCAAGATTGACATACTTGCTGCATCTGTATTTCATTCGTTATCCTCGGGATCTAATTGATTGAATAACTTGTATTGTTTTGTCTCACACAACTATATTTTTAACCTTTATTTGATGACCGAGCGAAACACAGTGTACTAAGGAGAGAAATAAATAATCTGATGAAATTCAACTACACCTATCATCAACATCACCTAACAACCCTTTCATGATTATACGATACGTCGCTGGCGCGCTTTCATTGGTACTATTCGTGTTTTCTCCCTCTCTGTCCACTATTGCACCATCTAAGTAGCGACTGAAGACCACCTAGCGATACGACGGGGCCTTCCAAAAACACCGACGCGATTATATTCCGCAAAAAGTAGTCCAATATCAATTAAATAGTTCCAGATCCAAGCAGCTGATAAATCATGCGATCCTGGACAACGACTTCCTGAAGAACATGGACTCATTCCAGGTGCACAAGATGGTGGACTGCATGTATCCCAAGAAGTACTCGACTAGATGACATATTTGAAAAAATTAACATGAATGTTTTCATCAATAATAAAACCTTCACTATGATTTTCTACATTTCCATTGAAAAAGTACTCACTTCTAGAAATATCACCTGACTCATCCACGTACCATGAAAAAAATATGATGAAACTCAACTACACCTCTCATCAACATCACTTAACAACCCTTTCATGATTATGATACGTCGCTGGCGCAGACCACTACCTAGGGATTCGACAGTGCCTTCCGAAAACACCGACGCGATTATATTCCGCAAAAGATCCTATAACAGTAAAATAATTCCAGATCCAAGCAGCTGATAAAACAAGCGATCCTAAACAACGACTTCCTGAGGAACATGAACACGTGCCAGGTGCGCGATTGTACCACCAACGTAGCGGCTGGACACCAATGGGCGATCCGAAAACACCAGCGTGATTCTATTACACAAAAGATAGTCCTTTAACTGTTTAATAATTCCAGATCCAAGCAGCTGATAAAACAAGCCATCCTGGACAACGACTTCCTCAAGAACATGGATACTTGCCAGGTGCGCGAGATGGTCGATTGCATGCACCCTAAGGAGTTCTCGGCGGGATCGTTGGTCATCACCGAGGGGGAGGCGGGGGGAGCTCTGTTCGTGTCCGCCAGGGGGGAACTGGAGGTCATCAAGGACGGAAAGGTTCTGGGGCACATGGGGCCTGGGAAAGCGTTCGGGGAGCTTGCCATCTTGTACAATTGCACGAGGACCGCGTCCATTAGAGGTGAGAATGGAGTTTATACAAGGGTTAGGCAAAAGTATGGAAACAGCCCACAGTGAATATAAAAACATAACTTGGACATAATTGTTATATCACATTGTTACTTCGTGATGTTATCCAGAGATATGCTTGATATCACAAAAACGTAGCAGCAATCGACGTAGAAGACTTGTGTAAATATTACAATGTAAAGTTCAATAGTGAATATTGCATGAATATTCCATGAATGAAATGATAAAATATGGAATCAATGTTGCTTTATAACGTATATTTATTGTTACTAGAAACATTTGCATAATATTTTATCTTATTATTTCAATCATTTTTTTTTTGGGAGTTTGGTAAATCTGCATTTAGCATGCGATGGGTTTTTTTTCGAAAATTTTTTTTGGTACTTACGCATTTTTGTCTGAAAAACACGAATTTGATAATGAAAATGTGAACAAACCATCATTTATCAAGATATTTCACTATAAAGTTACAAATTTCACCTTCTTTTCCGCCTGTCTTCTGGATTGAATTTGAAACAATTTACCCTTCTTTTCTCATCATTGGACAATTTATATATATCACAATGTACATCACATTTTTTTCTATCATTGAGTCAACTAGAAATATGATTTTCTTGTGATTTATCCATATTTATTGAAAAAAAGGAGGAATATCATTTGAAATAATGGCGTGTGTAATGTCATTCCAAAGCAATCTATTGACATTTGACATCTCGTATTTGAATTGCCTATGGATAAAATGGCCGTCATCTGGTATGCTTGCTCACTGAATAGGAAAAAATTACCATGAAAATCACATTTCCTGTTGAATTTTCTGTATGAAAATGTGTCATTGAAGTACATCATGAGTGTATAAAGTGTCCAATGACAAAATAAGAAGAGCAAGTACCTGAAAATGCATCCAACGCAAGGGGAAAAAGGAGTCGAAATTTCGAACTTTTTTTTGAAATATCCCGATAAATAGTGGTTTGTTCACATTTTCATTATCAAATTCGTGTTTTTTAGACAAAAATACGTAAGAACCAAAAAAAATTTTCGAAAAAAAAACCATCGCATGCTAAATGCAGTTTTACCGGGAGTTTTAAGGTTAATATGTCTATATTTTCCAAGGATCATCAAGAGAATCAACTGAATGATCTTTAGAAGAGACGGAGAAGTTGATCTGTCCCCGAATATTTCTGTATTGATGAATTGATCTTGCCATATACTCCTGAAAGACTGAGTATGATCCATTAACACAGTGATATTTTGAGACAGATTATCTACTGTCATTCTGAGTGTCATTTAGTTTATCTGCTTCATAAATTGAGAAATCAGGAAAGAAATTTGAAAAACGTCTACTTAGTGATTATAATAACACAGTTATGTGTATGGTTGAAACATTAATATCTTGATCTTTCCTAAAACAAACAAAAAACTCAGAATAATATGTGACACCGGGCCCACAAAAAAATAGGCATCAAGATGATGGATGCCTACCTAATTAGACTATCAGGAATCTCTCACTCTCAGAAGCACTCTATACAGGGGTGTGACTAAATAAGTGTAGAACATATGAGGGGGTGATTCCTCATCGAAAAAAAGATAGAATCTCCATTGGAGCATCCCATGTTAAGATACAGCCCCTTGAAGGGTGTACATGAAATTTGTTCAAGAATTTTTTTCACAAGCACTAAAAAAGGTACAGTATTGAAATCAACTTGACATTTTCTACTGCCAAAAAGACACTCCGCCAGTAATTTATTTGGTTTACCCCATGGTTGTAAGGGGTGGAAAACGCAACCCCTTAATTTTATTTCCAATGTAACTTTTTGTCTTATCATTTGTTTACCATCTAAAGATATATTTCCTATAGCCTGTTTTATTCTAAACAAAAAATGTCCCTTGAATTTTTTAGTGCTTGTGAAAAAAATTGTTAAACAAATTTTATGTACATCCTTCAAGGGGCTTGTAACTTTCGGAGATTCAAAGCACAAATAAACCTCTCGAAAGTTTATCTTTATTCAGATTATACAAAAAATACGACTGACAAATCTTGTCAGATCAATAATTCAACTTTTTCATACATAGTGAAACAAAACACAAAAACAAAATATCAATTGGGATTCAACATTCTCCGGCGCGTGAAGACATCTCTTCACCATTAATCATTGCCCAGATGTAGGTAGAACGCAAAGTTTCGTGACAGGTCTTGTATAAACACCTCGATTTGTTCTGATCTCGACGACTCGAATGATATTATCCTTTCCAGGATACACTTGCTCTATTCTTCCAATCTGCCACACATTTCTTGGCACTTTCTCATCAACGATCAAGACAATATCGCCGATTTTAACCCCCTCACTTTTAGCATGCCATTTCGAGCGCTGAATCAATGTAGGTCTGTATTCCAGTATCCATCGCTTCCAAAACGAATCTGCTAAAGATTGAGCAATTCGCCACTGTTTCTTTGAAACTCTGTCATCAGCTATTGAACAAGATGATACTCCCCCAGGACGTAACAATAGGAAATGATTGGGTGTTATAGCTTCTCGTTCCACTGGATCAACCGAAATGTGAGTGAGTGGTCTTGAATTCATCATGTATTCAATTTCAATTAATAGTGTATGCAAAACTTCTTCTCTGGGATTGATCGACTTTAAAGATATCTTGAGGGCGGTCTTCACAGTCCGTATCATCCGCTCCCATATTCCTCCCATATGTGATGCTCGAGCTGGATTGAATTTCCACTTAATCTGTTTGAGACTCAAGAAGTTGACTATTTCTTCCTGGTCAAGAGATTCGATCCATTCTCTGAGCTCTCTTTCAGCTCCTACAAAATTGGTACCATTATCGGAAATAAATTCATTTGGTTGGCCTCGCCTACACATGAATCGTCTTATAGCTGATATAGTTGAACTGGTATCCAGAGTTGCTGATAGTTCGATATGAACTGCTCGTATCGACAAACACGTGAATAGGACACCATATCTCTTCTCAACTCTTCTTCCGATGGATATGTTTATGGGCCCAAAAAAATCTACACCGACGTAGGTGAAGGGATAGACGTAAGTTTCCAAACGTTCTCTTGGCACATTACCCATCTGAGGATATGTAGGCTTGCACTTCCGAATTTTACATAACTGACAAAGTCGAAAACATTTCTTGACAGCTTGTCGAACTTTGACAATCCAAAATTTTGTTCTCAAATTATTGATAACTGTTTCTAGGCCAACATGTCCTGCTGTTTCATGATGATACTTGATTAGAAGTTCTGTAAATTTGTGTTTATAGTCCAGGACAATTGGATTTCGAGAATCATTTTCGATTCCGACATCATCTGGTATTCTTCCACATACTCGCAGGATAGAATCTTCGTCAAGAAATACTGAGAGTTTGAAAAGGCGACTAGACTTTGGTACATCTCTTTTGAGTTTCAACAGTTTCACCTCTTCGTTGAAACATTCTTGCTGACTTTGGCGAATCCACAGTTTCGTTGCTTCAGAAATCGTTTCCGAATCCAACAACAAACTCTTTGGCCTCTCTGCCTTCTTCAATCGCAATATTCTGGAGAAATATATCACCCACGATGTAGATCTAACCAGTCTGGCCCAGCTAGAAAATCTCAGAATATCTGGAAGACTTTGTTTCATATCAGAAGTAGCAGTAGTTACTAATACATTCTCCCTGCACTGAGTGATTGATTCTTCTGGCCAATTTTCTTCGATAGACCGTAAGAATTCTGGTCCCTTGAGCCAAACACTGTCCGAGGTGAATTTCATAACTTTCCTCACCTTAGTTGCAAGATCTGCCACATTTAGGGCAGAAGGAACCCAACGCCACTGCTTCACTGTTGAAAACTCATGAATTTCTTCCAAACGACATGCAACAAAGATCGGGAAACGTTTTGATTCGGATCTTATTTGACTAATTACCACCATAGAGTCAGTCCAGTAGTGAGTCTCTTGTATCTTGCACTCGAGCTCATAAGAGATCGATTTTGCGAGCCTTATTCCAAGTACAGCAGCTTGAAGTTCCAACTTAGGGATGGTTTGTTGTTTCAAAGGGGCAACTTTGAATTTACAACTAACCAAGGAAGCATGTATATCTTCATCATCTTTGAAACACAGGTAAGCAACTGCAGCGTATGCTTTATCACTCGCATCGCAGAAAATATGCAGATCCACATTGTGTACACGAGCATCAGATGAATGAAAATAGTACCTAGGGAAACTGACTGGTATCAGATTGTGCAACTCATCTATCCATAGTTTCCATGCCTCGAAATGTTCTTCAGTAATTTCTGCATCCCAGCTCACTTGGCATCTCCAAATATCTTGAACGAGGATTCTTGCTTTCACCATAACAGGAGCTAGAAACCCTAACGGGTCGAAGACAGACATGGTAACTCGCAAGACTTCTCTCTTTGTAGGTACCTTTCGACATTCCCAAACTTCAGGATCTATTTTCTGCAAGTTGAAGGTGAAAACGAAACAATCTGTGGTTTGAGACCAGGAAAGACCTAGAACTCGACCATACTTCTCGGTGTCGATCTTCAAATTACCTGGATCGACTGCTCTTAGATTTGGAGGTATGGAAGAAACAACTTTTTCTGAATTACTTGTCCACTTCGTCATCTCAAACCCAGCTTGTAGGTGGGCTGTTATCACGTTCTTCACTTGCTTCACTGCTTCCTCCTCGGTGTGAAAAGAATCAAGATAATCATCCACATAGTGTTGCATCTTCATGATTCTTTCGATGCCTGGGTATTGACTTTCCAAAGCTTCACCATTTGTGTTTTTGACAAATTGAGCAACAGCAGGCGAGGATACCGCTCCAAATATCATGACATTCATGTGATAAACATTTGGAGGATGTTCACGATCCATTCCGCGCCAGAAGAAGCGTTGCGCACATCTATCTTCTTCTCTAATGAATACCTGGTGGAACATCTCCTTTATGTCACCATTTATTGCCACTCTGCCTTGTCGAAAACGCCATAGTACTCCGATC